TGAGATATAAGTTGGCTACTTCATTTTCAATTTTATCACTTGAGTTTTCATCTTCACTTTCTCCCCAAGCTGCTACCATGGCCTTTTTGTTTCTTTTGTAGTCTTTTCCATGATTTTTCAATTTTGGACAATCCATCTTCACATATCCAGGATTTTTGCACACATAGCAAATAATAGGCTCTTTCTTGTTATTTTTGATGTACTCTTTCTTGAAAGGTCTTTTTCCTCCATAATTGTTTTTCGTGAAGTGCTTTTTGAGATTTCTACTAAACATGGCATAGCTTTCATCCTCACTGGAGTTTTCATGTTCTTCTTTTTTTGATGAGTCTTTGAATGCAATTCCACTTTTCTTTTTGTTTTCAACATCCTCATGTCCTTTTATGGTGATCTCATGAGTCATAACGGAACCCATACGCTCATCCAATCCAAGTGTGGAGAGATTTTTGGCTTCTATAATGGCCGTGACCTTTGCTTCCCAATTCTTTGGTAAACACCTAAGAATTTTTCTCACCAACTCACTGTTAGTATAAGTTTTGCCAAGAGATTTCAAAGAATTAACAATTTCAGTAAATCTAGTAAACATACATGAAATAGATTCATCGGAGTTCATTTTAAACAATTCATAACTATGAACAAGCATATCAATACGAGATTCCTTGACTTGGTTTGTACCTTCATACGTTACCTCAAGTTTGTCCCAAATTTCTTCTGCCAAATCACAACTTGAAATTCTATTATACTCCTTAGAGTCTAATCCACAAACAAGGGTGAGTTTGGCTTTAGCATTGGCTTACAATAAGGAGATAAGCCGAACTCTAGGCATTTGGGCCAATCTTACAATTCAGTTTCTGGCAAGATTACTCACATTTATTTCGAGCCCTTAAATTGGAAATAAACTGAGTCGCCTCTCTTCAGGCCTTTGACTCAGTCTGGCAAGTCTGCCATGGAAACTTCTGGCTGTGATTGGAAGAATTGGCATAAAATGCCTCTTCCATTTGCTGCCAAGTCTGGATGGAGCCAGGTGGAAGGTTAATATACATACAAATGCTCCTCAGTTAGAGAATTTGGGAATAGTCTTAACTTTATATAGTCATGATTGGTAAATTTCACCACATTGAGCGCAAACCTAGCAATATGTTCTACTTTGATTGTTTCCGTTCCATGAAAGAGGACAATCTGGGTATCCTGAAACCTCTTGGATATTCATGTACCTATCGACCCCATTCTGGGTATGGTTTTCTATACACAGGGGTCTGGAACCCCCGAGCCATTGGTCCACACAACTCCTTAACTATCTTAGTGATCTGGTCCTAGGGACCATATTTTGCACCTGCTGAACCACCACTGGGGAAACAAACACAGGATTTGGTGGACAAACTTGTGCTTGTGGTCCTCTTGGTCCATAAGGTGGTACATTTGGACTGGTTGTCGTGTAGAGGGCGCTGTTGGGGGTTAGATAAACTCTTTGAGCCTGTCCTGCGAAAGGACCCACGAAAGGTGCTGGAACAGGTATTGTATCCCTTCCACTTGTAGGAAAACTTCCAACCCCCCGGGTATAAATTCGAATAAGAGATTATTGTACCCCTGGTGCCAGGTATGGCTTCGAATGTGGGATTTGGAATCATTCTTATTGCCATTCTCTTATACCGGGCCAGATCCACCAATTTGCATGGCTTCACTGTTGAACATGGAGACATTCTAGCCTGCCCAGGCCTCG